AATGTGTTCCCAGTGTGCAGGAGAGCATAGAGAAAGCCACTGGCCCAGGCAGCTGCTGCCATTTGGACACAAGCTCTGCTGCCCAGGAGGTTCCCATAGTGCAGGGGTCTACAGATGGCCACAAGGCGGTCGTAGGCCATGACTGTGAGGAGAGAATATTCCCCTCCTAAGAAAAAGAACAACAGGAAGACTTGGGCAGCACATGCCAAAAAGGAAATGACCCTCGTGTCCCAGAGGGAGTTGGCCATCAATTTGGGGACAGTAGTGGAGATGGAGCCAAGGTCGAGGACAGAGAGGTTGAGGAGGAAGAAGTACATGGGGGTGTGGAGGTGGTGGTTGCAGGCTATGGCTGTGATGATGAGGCCATTGCCTATGAGGGCAGCCACGTAGATGCCCAGGAAGAGCGAGAAGTACAGGAACTGCAGCTCCTGCCTCTCTGCGAATGCCAGGAGCAGGAACTCATTAGCGGTGCTGCTGTTTGACATTAGTTCCTTTGGGGCAAAGGAGTCCTGTATAAAGAAGGAAAGAAGGCCAAAAGCTACAGGAGGTTTGTCTGAGCCAAACCCTTTCAGTTTCTCAGGAACACCCCACATTTCCTCCCTCCCTTATTTCAGCTCCCTTTCTGGTGCTCCGATATGAACTGGCTGAGTGTGTCACGTGCAGCAGGGAGCTCACAGTTCCAAAGGAATTCTTTCTGCTCTGCTGCAGGTGAAAATGGATGTGTCAAAGTACCCTTTGACTGTACTTGTCGAGATGCCTGAGAATGGTATCTTCCATTGCTTCGAAGGGACTTGGTCAAGAATCCCAGTGGGAATATTCTCTATTCAACAGTACGAGAGCTGAATAGAGCCCTCACACCAGTTTAGTCTGAAGAAGAGCTTTGGGAGGGATTCATCCCCATCAATCTTCCTCTCCTCAACGTAGTTATTTGTATCTGAATCTGTCACACCAGATCCCCACCCACAGCAAGAGAGAAAAAAAGTCAAATGGAAACAAGGATTGACCTTACCTTTTCTGTCCAGATGCCTAGAAGTAGACCTTGTCCTTATGCCATTTTACCATCCGTTCCCTTATTCCAGGCACTGCAGAGAGAAGGACTAGTTTTGATGCACACGACTTGCAGGAGATGATGTCAAGTCTTCTAAGGCAGAGGTCTTGAACATTTGGAAATCAAGTCTTCTCTGCAAGATGATCAATGGAGGAGTCTGTTGATGTATAAATRTGTCTATATGTAATATATGTGATGGTGCAAGCATAAACACACCAAGTTTTCTCCTCACTGTGGGAGCATTCTTTGATAGGGCAGTAATCTTTGGCATTTCAATCACTTTATTCATGAACTCTTGTGCATCCCTACAGGAAAAAAAGAACTTGCCATGACTGTCATGGGACCCGCTTCATMTGTGAGTCTTGCCCCTCACTATCCTGCCTTGCACCTCACTCAGATGAAGGACAACSACGCTCACAAGTSAGCTCTGCTCTCCCTGCAGAAAACCCTCAGTAGTAGGAGACTGTCCAGGGGCATTCCCATGTGTACAGGTGCTAAGGAGCAGGTCAGATAAACCCTGATGCAGCAGCTCAGGGGAAACTGGTGCTATCTACAGATTAAGGGATGGGTGAGGGGACATTCAGAAGCCACTGGCAGATTCACTGTCTGCTCCTTGAATCTCTTAATGAGTTTCACCCAGCTGCCCAAAGCTGACAGTTCCATTTCCAGTTTTCTCTTACCAAGTGGAAGGAAATTCTAAGCACCACCTCATTGCCTTCACTTTCAGGCAACGCCTGACTTGCCTTTCCTTTTGAAAAGTGCCCTCTGAAATGTGCTCACAGCTAGACCTGTGAACAGATCTGACCCACGCAGCAGCCTCCCAGCAGGAGAAGGAGCCTGTCCTGGTAGAGGATAATCCTCCCAGCCAGAACTTCTCCCCTCAGTCCTGTGGG